TTATTATGCTTTAATATTAACATGAATATGATTATGATTATAATTGTTATAATTTATGATAATTATTTTAATTATTATTAATATGATGATTATTTTATTTATGAGTATTATCATGATTGTTTTAATTATTATGATCATGATTATAATTATTATTATGTTGCTTGATATTTATTGTTATTGCTTGATCACGCCGTTTATGCATGTTTAAAGGGAATTTGTACTTGTAATCACGCTTAATAAGATAATTAATAATCTTGTTAGGGTTAATATGATTATGATTTCAAGTGATCGCCAATAATAGATTTATTTATGCATTAATATTCAACCAACATAGATAAACAAGTTCAGGGTTAATCCTATTGATTGCATGTTAATTGAAAAGCGCACATGAATACGATCAGAATAAAGTATAGGCCTATTATTAGGGCAGGTTCAATCTCTTTTAGGTTGGATTTGTACCTTTATCCCCGAACCCCTATTTGGTTCAAGCCCTGTTGGAGTTGACGATCTCTTGGATCGTTAAGGGGTGTAACCTTCACCTCGTGAACGGTTTACAAGTTCCTAAAACTTGTTGGCGACTCTTTTGCTCTATCTTCTTCCCTTTTGGACGCCACCGTACTTTAGTGTATGATCACAGTGGGGTTCAAGTTAGGGGATTAACGCTTGAAATTATTCCCTACAGTAGGTTGTGATTTAAGGTTTTTTTGAGGAGTTGAGTGCTTTGCCTGGAAATGAAGTAGTATGGGAAATAATGGGTGAACTTGGGGAAGGTTTCTGTTTGGTTGATGTGGCAGATTTTTAATGGGCAGCTGCTGGTAAAGAGTATTTGGTTCTTTTATAATCAATGGTGGGCCATTGCCTTTTTTAGTCCTAGGACTTGACCTTACTTGAGTCAATAAAGTTGGTGGTCCCCTCCTTGGTGTAATTTTCTTTTCTTTTTCTTTTAGATGTGTGTGGGGCAACCTGTGAAACTTGTGTTAGCTGTTGGAAGTGTGTTTGAACAGGTGGGGGCTCTTTGGGTTTTAATTCTGGTAATTCCATACCATGGTGTATATATAGCTCCACACATCTATACTTAACACCCAAAGTTGCTACCTCCAAAGCATCTTCATCACCTTCCAACCTCCTCAATCCATTCACCATACTAAGCCTAGGAACCAAGAACAAAACACCTTTCACTGCTTTACCCCCAACCTCCTTGGCTAACTCAACAAGGTCAAAGAGTAACTAACTAAGTATGTATCAATGGCTTTAGTTCTGCCAACACCACCCTCATACACCAAATCACCATTGTTCATGGTTTTGAACAACCCACTATGCCAAAATTTCAAATTTATCATATCATCCATTGCAACCTAAAGTCTAAATGCAAACAAAACAACAATTACAAACCTACAATCATGCTATCACTAGTAAAAGAGAGAATCAAACTGCAATCAAGAAAAATTTAACCCAGAAATTCGAGGAGGAAATTCAATTATTTCAAATTAAATCACAATAAAACACACACAATTCACACAATTCGACCATAATTTTAGGTTATTTACTAGTACATGATTAAATTACAAGAAAAAAGATAAAAATCGCAACTTTATATGATTTAGGGTTTACCTTGTTCACCCAGTTTAGCTATAATGGCGTGTTCAAGTACTTCCTTCACCGTCGCTTTTTTTTTCCCACAAATGGAAACCCGTTTTTTATAGAAATTTTATAAAGTTTTTGGTAAAAAAATTATGGTTGAGAAGCTTTAATGGAAAAGAGGAAGCAATTATGGCGGGCTTCACTTTTGTGCAGAGAGTATTTGAATGAGTGAGAAAGAGAGAAACTTGGATATTTAGGAGGGAAAGGAATTAAAACACCTCAACTTCTGTTTAATTCAAGTCAGACCCCACGTCATCATTTCATTAAAAAAAAAATCAAAAGGTGACTTTTTTAATCGGTACCCAGTCAAGTATGACTACTCTTGGTAAATACCCCCAATAGTTAGGATTATTAGATAATAAACAATAGTTGGGCTTATTAAAAGTAAATCAGCAAAAGTTGGGATTAATAATGTGTATTTTTCTAAATTAAAATAATAAAATAAATTACTAAAATACCCTTTTTAAAAAATACTAATTAATTAATTAAAAAATATGTCTACAAAATACGGGGTATTACAGAAAGTGTTATGCCTTGAGACCTCAACTTGGCTGTTTTTTTTGGTGTGGTCAATGTCAATCAATTTATTTTTTCCTTTTTTGAACACTCCATTAATTAATTCATTATTGCTTATATTATTCGTTGATTTTTGCCATTTTTTTTTTATGATTTTAACTATAACTAAATCCATGTTTATTATGCTAAAATGCTAATTTATAAGATATTTGTATGGTTAGGTATTAGATATTCTTTATAACATTGTTAAATGATTGAAAAATATACAGTGTAATTGAGAAAAAATTGCGTAAAACAAAGATAAGTATTAGATATTCTTTATAACATTGTTAAATGATTGAAAAATATACAGTGTAATCGAGAAAAAATTGCGTAAAATAAAGGTGAGTTCGATTTTAGTTGGAGAAAGAATGAGGTGAATAGATTTAGAAATCATATGTTATTTTTTTTTATTTTTTTTTTTTTATTTTATTTACGAGATTACAAATCAGATGTTAATTGGGGCATGTTAGCATTTTCTTAATTATTTTATATTTTTATACAAATAACTTAAATATTAATGAAATTTTCCTATTTTGAAATATTTTAAATACATGCCTACAACATACAACATTGTTGTTATAAAGAGCAACTCGGATAAAATGGGCTCAAGAAGGCATATTTGAGAAAAACAAATATACTTTAATTGACATTACTAATTTGGTTAAGTGAAATTTATTCATTTATTACCGATATTTGTGAGGTTTTTGAAAGAAAAATGATAGGAAACCAATTAAGAGTGATAATATATTTTTATTTTTATTTATAATTGAAGTTAATGATAGAAGTAGATAATTGGTAATAAAAAATACTAGATTATAAAACCCGTAGATAATGTATGTAGTTGACTTGAGAAAATATTAATATCGTCAATATTAATATAGTTACCTTATTTATATAATACGTATATAGTGACTTCTGTGTAAATGTTGTCAAATTTGATATCATGATATGGTTACCTTTATATTTATATATAGTGACATCTGTGCAAACACCATCAAAATTGATATAGTTACCTTATTTCTATATATAGTGACCTTGGTGTAAATAACATCAAAATTAATAAAACTTGATATGGTTACCTAATTTTTGTATATAAGGACCTCTTTGTAGGTGTCAAAATAATATAATTATCTTAGTTTTATATATAGTGACCTTTGTATAAAAGTTGTGAAATTAATATAATTACCTTATTTTTGTATATAGTGACCTTTGTGTAAATGTTGTAAAATTGTCCCTATTTTTGTATATAGTGACTTATATGTAATGTTACCATAATTTAAATAATTACCTTATTGTATAGGTTTTTTCACACCATTAGATAATCTAATGAACATTCAACGGCTAAAATTGCTTTTTTTAGTTTTCACCATAAGCTTTGTTTTCAGCGGAACCTCCCCTTATATATATATATATATATATATATATATATATATATATATATATATATTAAACGATGATTCGAGTACAAGGTATTAAAAAGTTTATCTACCTTTCTCTATTTTTTTTTTTTATAAATTTAGTCTGTGATAATACAAGGTTAAAGATAATATAAAAAGAATAAGTAGTTTATTGATATACTTAATGTGACATTATAATGTGTACATATAGTTACATGTAATTTATTAATAATTAAATAATTTTAATAAAGTTTGTTTCATGTTGATTGATTAGTAACAAAAATGAGATATGTAATTTTTATATTACACTTTAAAAAATATATAATAAGACATATTGTTAAAGTTCTAGTTATATTATTGAAATGTAGGTATGATACCATTGTCATGTAATTACATTTTATGTAATTAAGTATAGTATGAAAATTAATATATATCGTGTATAAAATTCTATATTTTTTTCAAAATCTTATGAGCGACTCAATGCAAATATGACAGGAATTGATTATTTTTTAAATATGATGATAACATTTGTAAATTTTTGTTAATATGAAAGATTTAAACCTATGAAAATATATTTTATTATTTTCACAGCATTAATGTATCAGTGTAAAACAAATTATGAGAGAAAAAAAGATGATAAGTTACTTCCTCGAAACTTGTGTTATAAATCTAGATACATATGTTTTAACTTTCTTCTCAAATTGATAAATCAATGTTTTCTTGTAATTTAGTTTTGTGAAGAGCATCGCCAGGAAGAACTGGATCGATATTCGTATGCATGGGCACAACGATCTAATGAGGTACTGTCTTCCTGTCAATTTACACTTCCTGCACTTGAGCCTCACATCAGACTTTAGCAGTGCATCCAAATATTTCTTGAAAAGCCGTGCATCCAAATAACTGATTCTAGTGGGTCATTTTCAATACTATCTTTCATTATTAATGTGTTTTCTTATATTTCTTTCTTTTTCTCTATTTCAGATCATATGCTTTGTTTTCAGCGGAACCTCCCCCTATATATATATATATAAGTAAACGATGATTCGAGTAAAAGGTATTAAAATTTTTTTTATCTACCTTTCTCTATTATTATTATTATAAATTAGTCTGTCACTAGTAGAAAAACATTTATTTGCAAAAAATGATTTAATTGCTGCGTTTTTGGAGTGGCAGCAAATGCTAGGGCAGCAAATAAATCAATTAATTTGCTATAGTTGGTTAATCGCATCAAATCAATTGATTTATTTGCAGCGGTTTTTACCATTAACCCCGGCAAATAAATACTTTTTAAAAAAAATTATTTAAAATTGTATTCACTATGGTATTTTTGTCTAACCTGTTACTAATCTATTGTCCAACCAAAAAAGAACAAAAAACAAAACTTTTATTTGCACTAGTAGAAACTTAAAAATTGCACCTTACATTTAACACACAAGAAAAGGATTTATATATATATTGTATACAAACTTTGAATATTTTGAAAATTAAAAATTGTTTTTATAAAATTTCATTAAAAAAAAAATACAATTGGACGCGTTGGACCTTTCAATGGCTTAACTCACTATAGTTAGAGCACATCAGCACCATATGGTAAGTAATAGAAACCAGTAAAAGACTTTGTGATCTGATGATCAAAGAAGTAATAGAAGGCTTAAGGCAACAACAACAGCAGAAACATGGAGCCAAGTGAGCAATAGCAGCACTGGCGTCAAGTGGGCTGTAGAACCAATACTGTCAAGCATGCAGGAGCACGAGCATCGCCAAGTAGGCAGCTAAAAATGATCCTCCATTAACAAACGTTGCAGGAGACTAAATATCCATATCCTGCAAACAAATGGCATGAGCATAATACCAATGTAACCTAATGTAAATGCGAAAGTAACTGATGCTAAACTTACCAATAAAGACTAAAGTCATTTCATTGTACTCCAACTTTAGACCACATCATGGCCAATCATCTCCTATCAGACCTCAACACCAGCTGTGGGATTCTTGAACTTGGCACCAAAATACAAAGGTAACAAGTGGTCTATGAGACTATGACCTTCTAATATAATTTTGCAAGAAAAAAAAGATCAAGATCAAGACAATTAGCAATACTAAGATCAATAGCACAAATAAAGCTTAATAATAAAATTAAACACAATGTAGGATGAGTTTGCCGAGCATATGTTAGAGATTGAACCACTCCAACAACACTCTCAAAATCTCGATCAACTATGTCATACCCAGTAGGCTTGATGTCCCTGGTTGCTGTATTTGGTGTTTGAAGCCATTAAAACTTGTAAAAAGGTGTACAAACCCTTTTTGGACGAGCTTATCCCTTTCCTAAGTCATAATAGTACTTGACAACCAAAGCATGATTTGCACTATTAAGAAGCTAGTCACTAAGAACAAATATAAGGTTAAAATGTAACATCGTATATATAATGATAGATAAAATTTAGCACATTAATATTGGCCTAAAATCACTATATTTTGTTTGCAATTTATAGCTAAATGGCCTAAATGTAATACGAGTACAAAATAACAAAACCCCACGCTGTATAATATCAAAGCATAGCATAGTCAAACCAAATAAAAATTCAATTTGGCAATGAAGAATTACCTTGAGTAAGATATCTCTTTCAATATCCTCATAATTGGCAGAAGTAACCCCTAAACTTATTAAGAAAAATGTGTCTTCTTCCACCATTGTGTGAAATTTGATCAATTAAATTCTTATTAAGAGCCAATAGATATCAATTTTAAATTAGACAAAATTTATCAGCAAAATCCCTAATTTACTTACTCCCTCACTTTGTGAGCGAATTTGCTCTGAGCGACATGCTTGAGAAAATGAAGCAAAGAACAGTAAAGGGTGATGCAGAGATGTGGAGTCCATGTTAATCCATTCTATCTTTCAAATTTTATTAATTTAATTTTCTTTTTATGAATCAGTATTAAATAGCCCAATTATATTCATCAAATCAATTAACCATAGAACTTCAAACATGTTCAAATCAAGCAAAATTTATCTATAAACAGAAAGAGAGAGATTACTTGCAACAGATCTATGGAGAAAGGATGGAAAAGAAACGGTTTGGAGGAGCGGAGGAGAACGCAACCGCAAGATTACAGTTAGTGAGAACCTACCTCGCAGCAACATCGGTGAGGACGACGGAGACTGAGAAAGCCGAAATCGCACTGGTGAGAACGACGGATTTGAGGAAAAAGGGAGATGAAGGTTGAGAGAAGCTTTGACGGTGGAATGAGTAATGAATTGAATGAGGGTTTTGGGGATTAAAAGCATGATAATTTATTTGCAGCGGTTTAAAGGCATTAACCCCTGCTAATTAATTATTTTAATTAAAAGAAGTAAAAACACACTTATATTTGCAGCGAATGGTAAGAAACGCAGCAAATAAATATTTTTCTTGTAGTGTGTGATAATACAAGGTTAAAGATAATATAAAAAGAATGTGTACTTTATTGATACACTTAATCTAAAATTATAATGTATACATATAGTTTCATGTTGATTGATGAGCAACAAAAATGAGATATGTCATTTTTTTTTATTACACTTAAAAATTATATAATAAGACATATTGTTAAAGTTCTAATTATATTATTGAAATGTAGGTATAATACCATTATCATGTAATTACATTATATGTAATTAAGTATAGTTTAAGGAGGCGCACGATGCGTCATGGGATTTTAGCTGACATGGTCAAGGCTAATCCCCCTGATGTTTCCCTTGTTAGCTCCATTCTCCATGTTCAACCTTTAAATAGTTATTCTTGGCTTGATGACATGGCTGATATGAATCGATTTGACCATTATGTAGTGTGTGGTGGCAACACTGCAACTTCTTCACCCTCCCCCTTCTCGGTTGCTATTTCGAGCAAGATGGTTGAGTCTCCCAGCGAGCGTGTCTTCTACGACTGCCAGCCTACTTATGTGATTGAACCAGTGGAAGAGGGCAAGTCTGACTTCTTTTTAGATGATAAGTACCATGGTCCTAAGAACTGTGTGCTGGATTCCAACTAGCGTAAGGATGCCAGGGAGTTGAATCTTGCCGTTGTGGGGAAGAAGTTTTACGACTTTGGCCAAGGTTACAAGTTAGTCTTGCCAACTGAGTGTTCAAAGTGTTGGGTTTTGGTGAGTCGTACCCACCGCGAAAAGAAACCCGACCCTAAAACCAAACTCACAATAATTATAACCATAAGCATAACTAACATAAACACAAGACTAAGTAAGAGATTATTACCTTTGTAGCGTGCTTCGCTCACCAAATCGAGCTCTTACTTGAAAGCCCTCAAGTCCCGCTCACACGGCGACCTCCTTCGAAGTCCACCCGCAACGCGAGCACCGAACTAGGTATATTGCCTTGGAGTTAGCAAGGCCCGACCTAAAAACCCGAGTAATTAGTGTTCAAAGGTTTCCACACTATGATGCCTTTTTCAACACTTACTTAAGTGAAGAATTCCCAACTCCCTAGGTTGGTATTTATTAGCAAAGGCTCACAAAATTCCCATAATCTTTCCATGTGGGAGATTTTAATTTTTCCATTTTATTTTAAATCTAAAATAAAATAAAATAAATAAGAAAGCTACTACTAAATCAACAAGTGTCAAGCTCACATGAGGGGTTAGGGGAGGACCATTTGGAAAAAGGGGGGGGGGGGGCTAAACTTGCTCCCCTCTCCCCTTCTAAAAACTGGCCAACTCACCTCCTCACTCCCCTGATCCCCTCTAGCTTCGCGCTACATGGCAGCCCCACTTGGGCACCAAGGCATCCTAAGTGGGCTGCCATGGCTTGAGGTCACCACACGGTCAGCAGGCCCAGCACGCACGAGCGGGCTGCTGCAGCCGTGGGCTGCTGCTTGCACTCTCGGCCAGCAGGCCCTTGCACCATGCGTGTGGGTTTATGCTAGTAGGCCCATGCACTAAGTGTGGGCTGCTAGCCGCGGATTGCTAGCAAGCCCCGCACATGGTGTGGGCTGCTAGCTTGGCCACACCCCTAGAACTCGGCTTTATGATGTTAAGGGTATTTTGGTCATTATGTTGATTTATTAGTTTTTCTCGTCTCGTCTTTTCTTTAACATTTTCGACTCGACTTCTGACGCTCGGTTTCGACGCTCCAAGATCAAATTTTTGACGTCTAAATATTAATTACTCGGGCGACTCATTAATTCCTTCCGAATTAATTCGTCGCTTTGGTTCGCTAATTGCTTGGGTGTGCCCCAAGGGTTCAGTCAAGATTAAGCTGTAATATTAATTATACATTAATATTACTGATCAGAAGCGGCCTCCACCTAGGCATTCCGATCACTACCTCACTAAATAATTAGCTTTCTAATAATTCCGAACCCTCTTTTAGAATTCCTTTTAATCACCCACTTGTCCTTCCAGACATGTACGCATTTAGTGTATATCCTTTTTCCTATGTCACTTAATGTCCCTTCATGAACTATAAGGTAAGATTTATTCGTCATCCTTATCATCTCCAAAAGTGTTTCTCGATCCCGAGTTTGACTGTTAATAAACAAATGATTTCTAAAATCCATCCGAACACGGCCATGCATTTTATAGTCTCGCTCTTTGAGAGGCCTTGTAAACAACAAAGACATCTTCCCTATTTTATTAGGGGGACATTCCTAGTCTTGTAATGTAGCTTCTCTTACTGAGAGGACCTAGCCACCTGAGTGTTGCCGTTATAATCCCCTATTACGACAGACGTTTGACAACATCAAAGCGGACTAGTACTCAAACAAGAGAACTCACAATACTCATGGTCGAGGAAATAGGTTCCGTAGCCATAATGAGAAGTATACTTATGACGATTTTTAATCTCTTAAAGTATTCTCATAGGTCGATCTAGTATGGTTCTAAATCAATACCTATTCAAATGATTTATGACGATCATGTCCTTGTAGCACAAGAAACGGTGCTTTAAATCAAACTACACACTAATCTCAAATGGTCATTAATCGTCTATCGTTTAATTGACCTTGATTAGGGATAATTTTCGATTATAATATTCAATGTTCACTTAATAGGTGTTTCCTTATCAAGACTGGTCTTGATATCCTATTTTGAATATTCTCTGAATTGAATAGACTCATTATTTAATCCTAAACCACAATTAAATAGCAAACAGAGTGATAAAATATTGCATAAAATTTATATTACTCGAAAACTTGAATGGTTTTTCTTAGTGTCTTACTGTAGGGAATATTTCAAGCCATCCCACACTTGAGCCCCACTGTGATCATACACTTAAGCATGGTGGCGTCCAAAGGGAAGGAAGTTAGAGTAAAAGAGTCGCTAACAAGTTTTAGGAAATTTTAAACCGTTCACAAGGTGGAGATTACACCCCTTAACGAGTTATACCCCTTAACGATCCAGAAGATCGTTAACTTCAATAAGTTTGGAACCATTACTGGAAGTTCGGGGAAGAAGGTACAAATCCAACCTAAAAGAGATTGAACCTGCCCTAAAAATAGGCCTCTACTTTATTCTTCTCGTATTCATGTGCACTTTCTGACTAACATTCAATCAATAAGTTTACCCTAAACCTGTTTATCTATGTTGGTTGAATATTAATGCACAAATAAATCTATTATTGGCGATCACTTGAATTATAATCAAATTAACCTATACAAGATTATTATTTATCTTATTAAGAGTGATTAAAAGTAAAAATTCCCTTTCAACATGCATAAAAGGTGTGATCAAGCAATAAAAATAATAATAAAGCAACATAATAATTATAACAATAATAAATCATAATTATGTTAAAGCATAATATTAATAGCAAGATCCTAGACATGATACTGTAGGCACCCATTTGTGTCTCCCCAAAACCAAACCCAGTGATGAGTACTTTTCACGTCGAATCACAATCGAATGAAGTGAAAGTGTGGAAAGTTTAGTGTTGCGGATAGTTTTAATTTCTTTTCTTCTCTCTCTGTTTTTGAAAACCTATTTTAAGAAAACAGCCAATCCAGTTCGATTGGTCCATGACATGGGTCCAATAGTAGTGTAGTTGGATAGGGCTTGAAAAGACCTTTCCGACGATATATTATAAGCCCAATTCCGATGAATATTGAGGAAGTTATGGCCAAATTACCGAACTGGACCCGGTTTGAGCCTTATATGCGGCCCAATGATCTAGAGGAGGGCCTAATATGGATTTATCATTCCTAATGCAATTAGGAATGATTTTAGTCTTCTAGATTCTTTTAGAAGGTTCTTTTCATTCCTAATTCAATTAGCATTGATAAATTGACTTTTGTTGACTTTTTAGAGTTTTAATCAGAATAAAAGAATGTTTTTGAGGAAAATACGATTTTATCCTCCTGTACGGCAATTTCTATCTGATTTTAGAAAACGCGTCAATAATTAAGTTAGCGCCAAATGCCAGCATTAGCGCCTGACGCTAAGCTTGGCGCCTGGCGCTAGCGTTAGCGCCTGTCGCTAATGTCAGCGTCTGGCGCTAACCTCGTTTTACGCGTCAGAACTCTGTTTTGATTTTTTATCTTTTTGGCTGATTTTCTCTATAAATAACTTCCTAAAAACCCCGTTTTCATTCACCAACTCTCATCAAGAATTTCTTGATTACTCTCTCTCTCTCTTTTCTAAACTAGCCTTCTCTCCAATACAAAATTCCGCATTCGCAAGATTTAGATACACCTAGCCAAGTTCGAAGTTGCCTTCGCCCTAGACGTGAAAGGTTTAATTTATGAGGGTTTGGTCCCAAATCTCTCTTTCAATTATTTAATTTAATTGTTTGTTTATTATTTTCCTTGAAGTTACTAACGTGTGTATTTTGTTATTAGAAAGAGGTACGAGGCATCCAAGTAAGTACTTTAATGGTTTAATTGTTATTATGATATAGAAATCATGCTTATATTGTTATTTTGATTCCTAGTATCATGTTAGGATGTTTTTCTTAATTTGATGTTTAGGGTGACAACAATAAATTCCTAGTATCATGTCTAGGGTAACTTTAATATCAAGTATGATTAAAAGTACGATGCTTCCTACCTATATTCTTTCCTAATATTCATATTAGTATCATGTTAGGGTTAAAGCTTTGATTTTTATTGTTTAGTGACATGTTAGGATTTGTTATTAATCTTGTTAGTATCATGCCTAGGATCTTGCTATTATTATGCTTTAACATTATTATGACGATTTATGATTATAATTGTTATAATTATTGTTATGATGATTATTTTTAATTATGATTGTTATGATTATAATTTTATTATTTATGATTATTATGTTGCTTGATATTGCTTGATCACACCTTTTATGCATGTTTAAA